CCCACACCCACACCCAGACCGAATGTGTTGAGTAATAAAAGAAAAATACTTTCTTTCTGTGACAAAGATTCCTTCGAATGTGAATGGGTTTTTTAAATCATTGAGATCCAATACACAACACTTTCATGCTATTCGTTCGAGTATGAGACGATGCTGACATCTTGCATTTTTATTTCTTGCACGTATAGAAGCGAATAAAATTTATTATTTTATGGGAGAAAGAGAACGGAAGAATGTAAATAGTTTTGTACCGCAACGTGTACAAACTAAATAGCTACAGTGCATGCATTAAAGACCTCGTGGTTTCTGGTAAATATGACAGAAATCGAACATTGTGATACTCATTTAAAATCATCGATCGTGCGTAAAAGAATTATTTGTAATGATATTGAAAGTCAGAAACGAAGAAAATTATCTCAGTTTTTGGATAATGGTACAACAAATTTTTTTGACGATGTCATGTCTAATTCGATCGAAAAATGGATGGTTTTATTCTTACTTCCGAATAATGATGATTCTGAAGAGATTTATAAAATTTCACTCGATATCCTTCGAGATACAATCGATTGTATCGAGACATTTACTGAATTTAATCGATGTACTGATTTTATTAACAGTCTGAATAATACAACCATATATTTAATTATCTCGAAAGAAATAAATGAAGAAGAAAGTATTATTCTTGAAAACTGTTCATCAATCTTCTCAATATATCTTTTAAATCAAAATAATTTACGTGAGCAACAATGGATTAAATCATGTAAAAAATTCAAAGAAACATACATTAATATAAAAGCCATTTGTGATAATATAAAACAGCATATTCACCTATTCAGACAAAATATAGTTTCTATTAATGTAACTTCGCAAGAATCTACTACTAAACTCGATGAACTTGATCCATCATTTATGTATTCGCAATTGTTAAAAGAAATTCTTCTTGAGATGCCATATGATGATAATGAAAAAACAAATTTCGTAAATTTCTGTAGTCAAAAGTATACTAATAATGAATTACAAATGAAAATAGTTACTGAATTTGATCAACAATATGATAAAACATCTCCAATATGGTGGTATACTCGTGAATGTTTTCTCTATTGGATGTTGAATACAGCTTTACGAACACATGATACAGACACAATACTAAAAATGGGATTTTTTCTTCGTGATCTTCATAGTCAAATTGAACTGTTATATTTACAAAATAAACCATACAATTCATTAGTTCTTTTTCGAGGACAAGGTATGTCTCCTGTACAATTCGATAAAGTGAATAAAACTAAAGGTGGACTTTTATCATTTAATAATTTTTTATCAATTACTACAGATCGGCAAGTTGCCGATTTGTATGCTGATAGTGCTCGACAAAATTCAAATTTAATTGGAGTTATTTTTATAGTCGAAATCGATCCATCAGTTACAACAACTTCGTTCGCTTTTGTACGAGATTATAGTTATTATGGAAATACTGAAGAAGAATTAATTATGTCAATGCATAGCGTTTTTCGAATTGGTGAGTTCGAACAAATAGATGATCGACTCTGGCAAATTAAATTGAAACTGACAAGTGATAATGATCCACTATTAAAAAGACTAACAGAATATATACGACATGATATTGAAGGAGAAACACCACTATATCGGATGAATAATTTAATGATGATTATGGGACATTATGATAAAGCAGAAGAAATTATACGGAAATTACAAAGTACAATATCAGAAAAAAATGGACAATTAATTGCTGAATTAAATTATCAAATGGGAAATGTGTTGTTAGCAAAGGGTGAATTAAATAATGCACTCGATTGCTTGAAGAAAACACTTGAATTTGAGCAGAATATATTCTTACCAAATCATCCAACATTATCATATACATATAGAAGTATTGGCAGTGTTTATGATTCAATGGGAGATTATAAACAATCTCTTATATATTATGAAAAAACACTTGAAATTCAAGAAAATTTACTTTCATGGAATCCTTCAGAATTATCTGATACTTATACACACATAGGCCTTCTATATGAACACATGGGTGAATACTCGAAAGCAATTCTATATCTTGAAAAGAATCTCGAAAATAAGATAAAAATTTTACCAGATATTCATCCTGTTATAGCTACCAGTTACATTAATATTGGTTCTGTATATAATTCAATGGGAGAATATCTAAAAGCACTTTCAGCTTATGAAAATGCACTGCAAATAGAAGAGAAATCTCTTTTAATAGATCATCCTAAATTAGCTGATACATATAATAATATTGGATCAATACATAATCAAATGGGAGCATATTCAACAGCATTATCATTTTTTGAAAAGTCAATTGAAATTAAAAAAAAATCTTTATCATCAATACATCCTGATTTGAGTGCAACTTATAGCAATATTGGACTTGTCTATCAATCCATGGGAGAGTATACAAAAGCCCTTTCATATTATGAGAAAACATTGTCAATCGACCAACAATCTCTAGCGCCCGAGCATCCAACAGTAGCTGTTACCTATCTTAATATTGGCTCTGTTTATACATTAATGGGAGAATATTCAAATGCAGTAAAATATTATGAAAAAGCAATAAAAATTCAGGAAAAGTCATTATCACTTGATCATCCTGCATTAGCCACGACCTATAACAATCTTGGTTTGATTTATAATAAAATGGCAAACTATTCAACATCACTTATCTATCATGAGAAAGCACTTCAAATACAGTTAAAATTAATTCCAATGAATTATTCATCATTAACAATAACTTATAATAATCTTGGACACTTGAATGATACACTTGGAAACTATTCTCAAGCCCTATCATACTATGATAAAACACTTGATATGCAACAGAAATCATTTCCACCTGATCATCCTGATTTTGCAAATACATATAACAATATAGCTTCAACAAATAATTCATTAGGAGAGTTTGATCAAGCACTTGAATATTACAAAAAGGCACTTGAAATTCAAGAAAAACTAGAATCACCCAATCCACAATTTTTAGCTGATATATACTCTAATATTGGTTTAGTTTATCAATCATTAGACGAACATCTAATGGCATTACCCTATTATGAAAAAACACTAGAATTACAACAACAATGTCTTTCCAATGAACATCCATCTTTAGCTATTACCTACAATAATATTGCTTCAGTTCATAATTTAATAGAAGAACATTCAAAATCACTTGCATACTATGAAAAAGCACTTGAAATTCAACAAAAATCATTACCATCAGTTCATCCTGATTTAGCAACTACTTATAGCAATATTGGTATGGTATATCAATCAATAGGAGAATATCATAAAGCATTGTCATATCTTGAAAAAGCACTTAAAATAGAACATGAATGTCTTCCACCGAATCATCCTTCGTTCAATATTACTCATTACAATATAGCTGAAGCATTTGAATATCTTCATCGATATGAAGAAGCTATTGAACATGCACAATTAGCTGTCAATATTGCACGTCAATCTTTTGAATCTGATCATAATGAAGTCTTAGAAAACGAAGCACTTCTTCATCGTATACAACAGAAACTAAAAGAATCATCATCTACCGATGTTTAGTTTATTTTGTCATCGTAGAATGTTCTTAGATATCTTCTGTCAATACCCGTGAACGTTTGATTAGGGTGCAGATGTGACTGTAGCTGTAGATAGATACAGAAAGGATACTATTCTCATATACTACATCCACGCCATCTGATTTCTCAAAAAATAAAGTAATACGAAAAGACAGACAAAAGACTTAGAAAATTAATCGATATAGTTTGGATGGCATTAGTGGGTAGTACGATTTCAGGTTCTATCGTAATAGCTTCTGCTGCTCGTATTGCTGATGAAAGAGCACCCTCGACCCATCCATGAACAAAGCTGGTATATTCACCAATGAAATGAATGTTCGAAATCGGTGTCTCTAATTTTTTAACTAGTTCAGTCTCTTGAAATGGAATTTAAAAGGCATAAGATCCACGTACATAAGGATCTTGACACCAATGTGGGTGTGGGTGTGTGGGGTGTGGGTGTGGGTGTGTGGGGTGTGGGTGTGGGTGTGTGGGGTGTGGGTGTGGGTGTGGGATGGGTGTGTGGGTGTGGGGTGGGTGTGTGGGTGTGGGTGTGCGTGTGGTGTGGATGTGGGTGTAGATGTGGGG